CTCTATAGCATCTTCCAGTGGTCAGGCGCCACGGCCAGCGGAGGGAACAAGTCTTGTTCAGACAAACTGGCCAAAAGCCAAGCGACGCCAGATCATTTTTGATGAGGACACACAGCCAGAGCAAGCCAGCGAAGACCGCCGAAACACTGAGCTTGGCTGTTCTATCGCTACCCCGTTTGGGAGGCGGTGTTTGCCCAGCCGTCACGACGAGCATGCTGGCCGGAACCCAGCGACGAGCCGAGTGATTTCTCTCAGCTCGGCCATCCCAGAGGCTTTTGACCAAGGTGCAGGTCTCTTGTTGGGGATCAACTGGGATATTTTTAGCGCTGCCTTCTCGCCCTTCTGCCTTGACTGCATCACACAAGAGTGGCACGATTGCCCCTTTGTTGAGGCGGAGGCCAGCAGGTTTGTGCAAAGGCTTCCCATTTGGAGCCGTGGAACGCCGTTTCAAGCGCTACATCTGTTCGTTGATGGCTCTTTTTTTGAGGCGAGCCAGGCGGATCAGGTTGACAAAGCAGGTTGGTCGATTTGTGCCATTGTGTGCGTGAATGAAGTCTGGCACTGGGCCGGCTTCTTTGCATCCTCCTGCCACTCCAGTGGAGATGAGGCGTCCCTTGGCCTTCCTGTCACCTCGGCCTTCCAAGCCGAGTTGTCCGCCATAGTGTTTTCGCTGGCAGTGTGTGTCGCCAACCCAGTGCCGTCAGCGATAGGCTTTGATTGCCAGGCAGCTGGTGCGGTTGCTGCGATCCAAGCTGGCTCCAAGGAAAATGGAGCTCTTGTTCAGGCGGCTGGGGACTTACAGGCTATCTTGCGTTTGACAGGACGGAGCCCTGCGCTCTACCATATCCATTCGCATAACGGCCATCCTTTCAACTGCCTGGCCGACGGTCTTGCAAAATGGGTTGCGCAACAGCCGAGTGCCAGCACTGCATCTGTTGGATCATTGGCACAAGCCAGCGAAGAAGGTGTCCTACCATGGCTTTGGACACTTTTTGCACCAAAGGGCAGTTTGCCTCCCATCCAGCCTTCAGGCAAAATTTGTGACCGGGCTCCTGACTCCGGAATGTCCACATTGGCGGATGCCATTGCACCCTATAAGCCTCAGCCCAGGTGCAGCCGTGAAATTTCATTCAGGATCATGACTCTCAATTGCCTGACAGCAGCGTCTACTGCACAGCAGGAAAGCATAGATGCACAGCTTGCCCGCCGAGGAGTTTCTGTGGCCATGATTCAGGAAACCCGCTCCAGTTGGGAGGGACGCAGGCACACAGCCAACTACCACATCTTATGTGCCCCTGCCGCACAGGGAGTGGGTGGCTGCCAGATCTGGTTCGCAAAAAAGCAGTGCCTCCGGGATGATAGGGATGAGGTTCATGGCTGGGATCCCCAAGGTTTCAGCATTGTCTATGCATCTGAGAGCATGCTGCTCGGCCTCGCTACCATTGGGGGCCACAAAATGCTTTTCATCTCAGCGCACGCGCCGGTGAATAAGGCACCGGTCTCTGTCAAATCAAAATGGTGGCAAAGCCTAAGCTCCGCGTTACGGAGGGCACCTCCGAACTGCACCCCCATACTGGGCATCGATGCAAACGCGCAGTTGGCCAACGCGAATTCTTCTGACTGCCATGATAATTGCCACTTCTTTGTTGAGTGCCTACGGGCTCATGGCATGTCCCACACCCCCTTTCAGGACCCTGAGGGACGACCGTTTTGCACATGGACTAGTCCAAACGGCCTTCGAGTGTGCATTGACTACCTCTGTGCCCCTCAGCACATTTGCCGTTCTCTCCTATCCGCCTGGGTGTGGGAGACATTCGTGGGTCAAGTCGATCACGACCATAAGCCTGTTGTTGTCGATGTCCACGTCAGGTGTGACGCTTCGGGACCTGGTTGTGAACGCAAGTGCGACTTCGATTACCTGCGTACAAGTGAGGGGCGCATCGCCCTGCAGAGGGCCTATCAAAGCATGCCCGTTGTGCCTTGGGACGTCGATGTTGACACCCATTTGGGAGTCATCAATGATCACCTGCGCGCGAGCCTCCGACAACTGTGCCCTTCCCGGGCAGATAAACCCCGCAGCCGAATCACCTCGGAGGTTGCTTGGGATCTTATCAGGCACAGACGCAGCCTCAAACGACATTTGTTTCAACAGCGAGCTCAGGAGTCTAGCCAGATTCTGGGTGTCTTTTTTGAGGCATGGAAGGGTCATGAGCAGTCCAGGCTACAGGCAAAAAAGCTCCATGACCAGCACATTGCCTTTGTCACCAGGCAGGTGCAGGATCTCAGCAAAAGGATACGGCAAAGGGCTGCCTTGGATGCCGCGGCCGCGGCAAAGGAGGCTTTCAGCGCGGCCAGACACAAAGGCCCGGAAGCACTTGCTTCCTTAATGCGTCAAATTATGAAGTCGGGTCGCCGCTTTAAGCCGCCCAAACTTGTTCCCGTGCTCCGTGATGAAGATGGTGTTGCTAGGCCAGACCCAGAAGCAGACTTGGCTGAGCACTTCGCCAAGGCTGAAAGGGCCGCGGCCTGCGATCCCTGTGATGTGCGCCTGCATAAGCCAAATGCCCTGCAACATAATATCGTGGCTTGTGCCGAGCTCTCAGCTTCGGCGCTGGCCAGCTCATTCGGCCGCCTCGCCGACCGTAAAGCTGCTGGGCTCTGTGGATTACCATCTGAGGTCTTCCGACATGACGCTTTGGGAGCGGGTCTTGCCTTTGGGCCGCTAGCACTGAAGATGTGTATGCGCAAGCAGACCCCGTCGCTTTGGCGAGGCGGCGTCATGGTTTCGGTGCCCAAACCAGGCAAGTGTCCCTTCTCCACGAGCGGATGGAGGGCGATCCTGCTGCTGGAATCCAGCGCTAAGGGTGTACATGGTGCCCTACGCTCTGCCGTCTTAACAGGATACAGTCAAATCCGCGAGGAGGCGCAAGGGGGGAGCCTCCCAGGTCAGCCGTTACAGGTTGCCATGTCGGTTGTCCGAGGCTACGTCAAGCACCTGCGGCAATCTTCTTCCTGCGGAGGGGTCCTGTTCCTTGATGGCGCTTCCGCGTTTTATTCGACCTTGCGCGAGTCCCTTTTTGGGTCAGAGCACATGCATGACGAGGAGTCCATACATGAGTTGGCCTGCCAGGTGTTCGAGGACGAAACTGACAGGTTGGACTTCATGTCGCTTCTCCTTGCGCCGGGTCTTTTCGAGGCCACTGGTGTTAATGAGCCGGCAAGGCGCATTTTGACCTCCTCATTGCATCGCACCTTCTTTGTGTATGGTCGTGACTTTGACCGCGTTTTTCAAACCAAAAGCGGTACAGTCCCTGGGGCTCCGTTGGCGGATGTCTGCTTTCAGCTGGCCTTCTCCAAGGTACTGGCACAGGTCAGACACACATTGTGCGAAGACGGCCTTGAGGTTCGGATTGTCTCAAAGGCATCACAGAGTGCAGTGGTGCCTGCCACTTCGTGGATGGACGACCTGGCCATCCCCGTAAAAGCCGATAAGCCCTCCCTGCTTATCGAGGCGGCCAAGAGCGTTTTGCACACTACCGACGTTGCTATCGCTCGCATTGGCGTATCCTTGAATTTCGGGGTTGGAAAAACGGAATTCCTCCCAGTCCTTTGCGGGCCAGGCAGCCGCAAGGCCAGGGAAGATCTTCTGGGTCGCACTGGCGGTGAATTCCAGCTCACCCTTCGCGGCACTCCGGTCTCCGTGACCCTCACTCGTTCCTACGTCCACTTGGGCTCGGTTATCGATACCACTGCCTCAGATATTCCAGACATCAAAAGGCGCGCAGCACTCGCTCGTGAGCTTGCTGGTTCGCTACGCAAGCTTCTGCATAATCCGCACCTTGACTTGCCCGAGAAGTCCAACCTATTGGCATCGATGCCATTGGCAAGGCTTCGCCATGGCGCCGGATTTTGGGTTCTCGAGAGCGATCAGGCAAGGAATGCTTACCATTCGGCCTACATGGGCATCCTGCGCATGGCGTTCCGCCAAGTCACGGGGGTGACGTCCAAAGGCCGAACGGACCACGAGATTTGTTGGGGGCTCCACTTGCTCTTCCCAGAAGAAGCACGAGCAGTTGATGTCATCCGACATGCGGGATGGATGATCCAAGCCGACATAACTGCCATTCAGGAGCTTTGGCTTCAGGACGGGGACTGGAAGGCAGAGTGTCTGAGGGCCTTCGGATTCCTCTCAGCCGTTTTGCCGGACACGCCGTCTCCCAATGCCCTTTGGCATCTCCTTCTCCAGCAGCCACAGGTGGCCAGACGATGGGCCAAGCGGCTCACCACAGTCTGCAGGCGCCGAAATGCTTCGCTCGGGGAAGCAATGCTCCCGCGTTGGCGAGAGCAGCAAGAGGCTTCTCAGGCAGGTTGGATTTTCTGTCGCTTGCCTGATACCACCGAGAGCCTTATTGGTGAGCATGAGTGCCGCGTTTGCCACCGTGCCTTTCGCTCCCTTGCTGCGCTGGCTTCCCACGCCAGCAAGGTGCACGATTTTACCGCAGAGTCGGCACTTGCCACCTGCGGTACTCGTTGCGAAATCTGTCAAAAGGAGTTCTGGAGCACCCGCAGGCTGCATCAGCATATGCGCCAAAGCCCTCTTTGTCGGCAGGTGACTATCCATGCCGATTTGGAACCTGCGAAGCTCCAAGCTGAAACCGGGGGGGCTTGGATGCCCGCCATGGTTGTGCAAGGCCCAAAGCCGTTCTGGGCGACATTGCGGCCACATGATAACGGCCCACAAGCAGTTGCTACCCAGCGGTCTGGCTGGGAAAGTGTGCTGGGCCTACTTCACGGCAAGCGCTCCGGGGAGGAAGCCTTCTTGGCTGAATCTTTCGTTGAGTTGGCGACGAAGTTCCACCTTTCTGCAGAAGACCGCCCGCTTGCCGCGCTTGGCTGTCCCTCGAGCGACCTGCTATACGTAGTCTTGGTCGCAGTACAGCACAAGCGACAGGGTTTTTCAGGGTCATTTCGGGGCAAGCTCTGGAAGGGAGCGGTCCGAGGTGATCGTGCAGTTTTTTGCCCCTTAGGGGCCGAGCCAAAGTACACTGTGCCAGATGAATGGCAAGAGTGTCTTGGCATGTTTTGAGCCAGACCTATGCATGCTGTTTGAGCGCACCGGAGGGTTCGAGCATCCATCCAAAAAGCCCCAAGCCCGGTCCTTTGTCTAAGCCGAGGTCCATGAGGTGGAGTCGACTCTGGCGCTGCGACTCGCTGAAGGCCGCGTTTCCGGGGAGGTTTGGGGTTTCGGGACACCAGGGCTACGGGTTTAGGGGGTTCTCCATTAGTTTATGTGTAGCATCCCAAACCCCGGCTTTGCGGAGAAAGGACGCTTTTTCCGAGTCAGTGAGATTTTGCCTAGGTTTGCCAGAGTCCCACTACTCTAGGGGCCTTAATAACTATCATATACCCCAAAACCCTATTCTAATTATTTCGGCCCCTGCATTACCCTGAACCCTAAACCGGATCTCCGAAACGATACGCCCAACAAGGCCAAGATCCACAAGTGCGAAGCCTTGCATCTGAGTCCAACTCGGAGGATCATGGGACGTAGTCACCAGGATTTAGAAGGAATCAACTATGCACAGAACTTCGAATTGCTGCATATGACCTAATTCTTCTAGCATTACTACCTGAGTCCCCCGATCCTCTAAGAACCTGTGAAGTCCGCCGGGCGAAGCTGAAAAGTCCTGCCAGGGAACGTCCTGCAGCTTCTGGGTCGAGTGGCTGGTAGTGGAGGACCTCTGGAAACAGCCTGCCTGGAACCTTGGCCGTGTTGTAGGGGCGAGGGCTGCAAGATTTTTGATGATGTAACGAAGCCGGAATAGTCAGCAATCTTTTAACCCTGTCTTATAATGGTTTCAGGTGTTTGTTATTGTAACATACCCCAGAACCCTATTCAAATGCAAATTCTCTACCTGCTGTGTTTTTGCTCAGGGGGGTGTTTGACGAGGGGGAAATCCTAAACACCATACACCCTCCATAGCCTGTTGATTTCGCGATGGTGCATTTCACCAGCTGAGTTCTGGTGTTCAGAGTTTGGGGTGATTCAGGGTTTCGGGTTTAGGGTTTCCCAGCTCATTCCTGGCTTTCAGAATTTTCGGGTGGTGCTTCGGGTTTAGGGCTTCGGCAGCTGATTTCCGGGTTTTCAGAGTTTCCGGGAATCTAGCGGAGTTGAGCATGTCCCCAGACGGTCCATGTATACTACAAGTACGGGAAGAGTTCCCAAAAGACCATCCCTGTTATGGTTCCGGGGTCCTAGTTCCTTATTTGCAGGATATATGGACCCTCTTACTCTTGGGCCGAGGCCATGCTCAAGAAGGACGATTGCGCGATCCTGGACACGCAGATGCCGGCCGTAGATCAGATCATCGGCGAGCATCCTGAGTTGGCAAGGTCTCTGGTGCACATGCTTGTGACCTGGCTTAGGGTTTAGGGTTTAGGGTTTAGGGTTTGCAAGGATTTAGGGATTCCTTGGGGCTATTGCAATAAGTATCCTAATTAGTAATTAGTATTCACAGCCTTCTCGTCGGTCTCCAGTACCCAAACCCCGAAACCGTCAAACCTCGCACAGAACCCTATAGAGCTTTAAAGCCACAATCCCTAAACTGCAGTGTAAGCATTGTTCGATGCCGAGGTTGCTGAGCGGAGGAGCAGGAAGCGGGCCCTAGGAAGCGACTGACCCGGCTTTTGAACTCGGGTGCTCGGCGTTTAGGGGTCCTTTAAGGGTTCCTTTACTGGTTCATTGGGTTCTTTTTTAAGGAAGTAGGGATGAGCTGGACCCTATAACACCTACCTGTTGAGGGATCCTGGTCATGGTTTCCTCGTGTGAGTCAAGAGAAGGCAGGGTTTTGGGGCTAAGCTAGGAGTTCTTCTTGAGGGCCAGGGTTTAGGGTTGATGGTTGAATGTTTAGGGTCCTAAGAGGAACTCCGAAAACGGAGGCGAAGACTCCACCGAGGTCAATGTTGTGCCCTTGAGACTCATGGTAGTTGTGTTTCGGTGTTACTTGCCCAGACCTTCCAAAATCCCTTAATTAAGGAATATACCTTAAATTATGAAAGGATCCCTAGTATGATTTAAGGTATATTCCTTAATTAGATGATTTTGGAAGGTCTGGGTGTATGGTCATGCCCATAAAAGGGCCGATCAAAGCCAGATGTGTCGGCTAGCGGCCACCCCTAAGCCCTGAGATCCTTACACCCTAAACCCTTAAACCCTACACCCCTAAACCCTGAACCCTAAACCCTTAAACCCTGAAACCCTTACACCCTAAACCCTACACCCCTAAACCCTAAACCCTTATACCCTAAACCCTGAAAAACTTACAACCTAAACCCTGAAACCCTAAACCCCAAACCCTTATACCCTAAGCCCTGAACCCTTACACCCTAAACCCTACACCCCTGAACCCGAAACCCCTAAGCCAGCGCTACCGGAGTGCTCCTGGGCCAAGTGCCGCTGTTTCCATCGAAAAATTGTCATGAAAGCGTTGCACTTGTGAGTTTGGGGCTTACCTTAACCCCAAATAAACTATCTGTTGAAGGACTTAAGGAAACCATACAAGGAATCTTAAAAAGGAAGTTTTTATACGGTCCAGGTAGGGTTTAGGGTTTTTTAGATCTGAAATATACATAGGGCTTAAAAAGTTACGACAAGGATTAAAATGAGGTTTGGTGCAATTGATACTGTGAAGCAAACAGTAGCCATAGTCTCGTTTGCATCCATAACCATCGAACGCTCGATTTACATGCACACGGTGCCCTGCTAGGTTCTCCTTGCGCAATGTTCAGTACCTTGGGTTCAAGGGGGTGGTTGTCGAAGCCTAAGACAATATGGCACCTATTTTTTTAGGGTACCCAAAAAGGGATCATAATTTTGACAACCACTCTACTACTTGTCCGGTATCCAAAGGACCTGAAGGGTAGCCATTGGCGTTATCTAGGGATTAGACAGAGTACCCCAAAAAAGGTTAGGTGTTACGTGCTCTACTACAAACGTTTCCCCTAAGGGTCCATGTACTCATATAGTATATACATTGGCCTTAAAGTACTCCCATGTTAGTACATTGGGCCCAAAGTATGTGCTATATGGGTACATGGGCCCTTAGGGTTTCGGCTTTCATGGAGATCCTTGGGGGCACCACTCACCGTCCTGCGGGTATTGTTGATGATGAGCCTGGAGGACACGTTGTGGTACTTGGAGGGGCAGGGGACTTAGTAAGTAGGTTATAAGTAGAGTTATAAGTACCCTAAATGCCTAAATGGAGTTACCCCAACTATAACCCCACATATAAACGACTTACTAATCCCCTGCCCCTCCAAGTAGACAGTCTCAATCCGGGCTTCTCCAGTACTTAGTCATTTCAAGGAGTTCCCAGGCATATAAGATATGGGTCTCAATCAGCATCCCTGTATGCCGCTACAAAGATTCAACATAATATGTACCCCAAAAGCCCTAACCCCTAACCCCTACAGATCCCTACAGTACACTACTAACCGGCTCAAGACAAGAATGCTCGTGTGGATCTCAGATCACTCTGTTAGCGGTACACAGCGCTGGACAGAGAAAGGCAATTCGTGCTGGATTCCGGGTACCTTCTTACCGGGTTGTTTGGGGTTTTGGTTTTAGGGCTGACCCCGAAATCCTGAACCCTAAACCCTAAATCCCAAGCCCTAAACCCTAAACCCTTCAGTGTGTGCCCCCATGGGGTGAGCTGACTCTGCGAGGAGAAAGCCCGTCACACTTTAAAAAAAAAAAAAACCCTAAAAGGGTTTAGGGAAGTTCAGGCTTGACCTTCTTACAGGGGGTTTAGGATTTGTGGTTTGGAAATGAGGGTTTCCTGGCTTGTTGGATTCCAGGGACACTCGGGTCGTTGGTCGACCTGCCCCGACGATGGTTTCGGGTTTAATTAAGGTTTAGGAGTCTGGGGGTTCAGGATTTAGGAGTTTAGGGGTTTAGGGTTTAGGGTCTAGGGTTTGGTTATTCTGTGACCCGGTTTCGTCAATTAATCTTTCGCGGCTTTCTCGGCCTTGCTGTGTATGGAAAAAACTCAGGACACCAGGCCAAAAAGCCACAGGTGAAAAAAACAAAATCCTTACCCCCTCAAGCCTTGAACTGCAAGTTTTGAAAACCCCAAATCCTCAATGTTATTTTGAGGGCTTAAATGATAACCAATATTATTTTGGTGGTTCCTTATTATAACTTTAGTATAAGGGGTCCCGAAACCCTATTCTCGTTCTTAGGGCCCTTATACTAAATCCTTATAGTAGCCCTTATAGTAACCCTTATGTAGAGCGTTTTAACGGAAGCCTTACAAGGGAACCCTATTCCTATTACTACGGCCCTGTGATAGTACAGATCCCTTCTAGTAACCCTTATAGACCGGGTTTAGGGTTTAGGGTTTAGGGTTTAGGGTTTAGGGTTTAGGAACCCTATGTCAAACTCAACAGCAGGTCCAGCTATTCCTGCGGATTCTGGCGCAGGTTCTTGTGGGTTTCGGGCCTAGGGTTCGGGGTTTAGGGTTTACGGCTTAGGGTTTCGGGCTTTAGGGTTTCGGGCTTCAGGCTTAGGGTTTCGGGCTCTAGGATTTAGGGTTTAGAGCTGAATCTACATGGCGGGTTCGCATGTCGGCTAGCAAAGCTTGAAGTCTTCATTGTAATCTATTTATACAGTTTTATCTAAAGGATATCACATGGCAACTCCCAAAAATGAACTACAACGGAGACTGTAGGTAGGTCCCTAAACCAATAATGTCATAGAGCCCAAACCCGAAAAAGAAACTACAATGCACTTGGAGGTAGGGTCCAGTGAACCGCTAGCCGCTGACCCCTAACGCCTCAACGCGCAACCCTGATCCTGAAATCGATTGTGTGGAGACGGACAGCGCCCTAAGTACTGACAGTAACTCCGCGCCAGGTGTTCGTTAATCCAGTACGTTTGGGGCTTACGGTTTTAGGATACAAAGGCTTCTTATGTACTACCGTCATGGAACTAAGCCCCAAAAGACCATCCTTATCATGACATACTTCC